TTGGACATTTCACATATTGGATAAATAGAATCACACATACAAATGTTACCAAGGTTCTTCCATGTTAGAACATGAATCAATGTGCATCATGGTTTTTATGGCTGAATAAGATTCCACCACACAGTATGCCACATTTTGTTCATCTGTTTATTATTTGGACTTTTGAATTGTTTCCACATTTTGATTATTATGAATAATGCTTCTATGACTATTAAGTACAAGTTTGTATGTAGGAAAGGTTTTCATTTCTGTTGGAGAGGTACCCTGGGTCGTACAGTAACTGTTAAGTTTCTGATGTACTGTTAAGCTATTTTCTGCACAATTTTACATTTCACCAGCAATATATGTAGATTGTAAATTCTTCCATCCTTGATATCCCTCTTTTTCATTATACCTAGCTTAGTAGGCATGAGGTAGTTTCTCATCAGTTTTGTATTTCCTTATTAACTAATGTTAATATGCTTCATCAGTTTTGTATTTCCTAATTAACTAATGTTTCCTATGCTTATTAATTATTTATATCTTTGGAAAATGTCTATTCAAATCCTCTGCTTGTTTTTGAGTTATTTGTCTTGTTATCATTGAGTTATGAGTGTTTTTTTTTTTTAAAATATATTCTGGACATGAGATACTTACCTGGATTATTATTTAGTAACAGGGAGAGTATTTTCTATTCTGTGGATAGAATGTAGACATGTACTGGCCTTTTCACTATATTGGTAGAGTTTGAAACCCAAAAATTTTAGCTTTACTGAAGTCCAATTTAATTGCTAATACTTTTGATACATGTTAAAAAAAAAACTATTGCCTGATGCATGGTGAAGAAGATAACTATTTTCCTCTAAAACTTAACAGTTTAGGCTCTGTATAGGTCATTCCACTTTCAGTTAACTTTTGTATGTAGCATCTTTTTTTTTTTTTTGAATGTGGATATCTAATTATCTCAGCACTGTTTGTTGGCTATGGTTTTCTTTTTAACTGTTTTCCCCTTGTTTTATTTACCACTATTTAAATCTTTCATATTGCCTGCTAATGTGCAAGGCATAAGATTGTGGAGTTTACAGTAAAACCATTTTTTTCCCTTTAAGACTAATGAAGATGCATGTACATGAAATTGTTAAATACAGAACCAGAAAAATGAAGAAGAGGACAGAATTCATTAGGAATTGAGAAAACTTAAGTCTCTGGAAGCAGTAGACTTACAACAGGAGTTGGAAGTAAGATTTAAGTATAGAAAGACCAGAAATGACCAGTGCAGAGCTACTTAGTTAGGTTCTTTTGACCTAAAGTATGTATGGAACATCTTTTAGACTGATTTTGAAAATTTCTTGAATATCATGTCTTTTCTTACCCTAATTATATTAGAGGTTGGAAGCACTTGACATGTCCTTTGCGACACACCTGTTACATATTCCATTCAGTTGTGTTTAGAGGTTAGGCAATACCTATTTTTACCTCCGCATATTGGACAGTGCACCTTCTGGACACACCCTTGTTTGTCTTTCTTGTAATTTCTCTCAGTGGTTATTAATGAACAATACTCACTGTATTCTCTCTTCACAATCTCTGCCACCTTTTAGTACTCTAGTAGCCTTTTATAGTCTCCTTTTCTAGTTTCTTGTCATCTTGGTCTCATAAATTTGGAGTTCTCAGGACTCTCCATTTACGACTTCTTTGTGACTGCATCGCTCTTGGCGACTTCGTTTAGTCTCATGGCTTTACATATCGTTGTGCTGCCAGTGACTCACATATTTGTATCTTCAGCCCTGCTCTTGCTTTTGAACTTCAGGTTAATATATCTGAATGTTTCCTCTATATGTGTTTTAGGGTGATTACTTGGCATCTCAAATTTAACTACACAACAGAGCTCTTTCTCTTTCTCTTTCTCTTTTTCTGCCCTTACACTTGCTCAGCCTTTAGTGTTAGTCATCTTAATTGAAGACAGCGTCTTCTTTCTAATTAGCTTAGACTAAGGAGCCTTGCAGTCATATGGAGTTCTTTTTGCCCACTTTTAATCAATTGGGAAACCCTATTACTTTCGCTTCAGAATATATTTAGAATCTGACCACTTGCATCACCTCCACATCTGGGTTAGCCAGTCATCTTGAGGCATGGTGACCTGCGATAAGCAGCCTGGGGGGATTCTTAGTAATAACCATTTGCTCAGTTCCTGGTTTGCAACTTCGTTCTGGTATGAATCTTGCTTCATGTTACCACCATGAGGCAGATTGGGCTGGGGGGGGAGGTGGTGGGGTCCTGGACTACTGACCCTTTCTTCCTTGGTATGCAACTATACAGCTTACCTCTTGAAATGCACCCATGTAATATCTGACTATGTGCAGCTGCCAGTGCAAACCCACATGGAACCTTGTAGAAATAGAAAGTGTATATAAATAAGCCCCTGACTTCCTACAAATGGGCTCAGCCTTTGGATGCAAATCTGCCAAGTCAGCACTGGTGCAGTAAACCTGCTTCTTGTTAGCCCTGGTGTCTAATTTCCTTTGTGCCATATAACAGTCTCATCTAGATTGCTGCCATAACTTACTCCTTTGGCTCCTGTTTCTGTTGTACTGCTGTCATCAGCCAGAGTGACCATCTTACAATTTTATGTCAGTTATGTAGTACTTGCTCTGCCCCCAGTCTTCTGTTTATTTTTGAAATCACTTTCATTCAAAGTAAAGCCAGTTATGCCAGAAATGCCTTACAAGATTATGGCTACCCTTATCTTCTGGGTATCCTTTCCTACTATTTGCCTTTTGCCAGAAATCTGTTTCAGTCCCAGTTGCCTCTGTTATTCCTTGAAGAGTCTACATATATTTCTGCATTAAGGCTTTTGTCCCCTCTGCCTAGAATGCTTATCTTTGTAGGGAAGAAAAATTTTCATTTATATCTGTGCATTCTGGACTGGAGCCACTGTAATAAAAGAAAGATTAATAAGAAAATAATTTTATAATTATGTATACTTCATGCATATGCAGCAGAGAAAAATGAATAAGTCAAAAAGGTGGCTTAGAATTCAGGTTTAAATACCATCTTCAACTAAAGACAAAGGAAAGGTATGGGGAGACCAGTTATAGGGGGTTACCAGGAAAAGCACAGTGAACAAGATTAAGGTCTAGATGATCTTTCATTCCTTCTCTTTTGATCAAAGATCATCGTTTCTTGTCTTTCTGATGAAGAGAAGACACACCCCTGAGGTTAATTCCCACACTTGTTTTAAGTCTTTGCTCCAGTGAAACTTTCTCAGTGAGACCAACTCATATGCCCCCTAAGATTTCAGCGGCTCAGCTCAGTACTCTCTGCCTCTTTTAGTCTGCCTAGTCCGGACCCCTGCACATACCCTCTTTTGTTTTACTTACCTCTTTGGCTTTTTTTATGTCTTACTTGTCTTATTTACCAGAAAATAAGTTTCAATGCAGGGGTTTTTGGTATTTTGTGTCACTGTTTATACCTACCACATAATGAGTGCTCAACAGATACTTTCTGAATGAATTGGCATACCAGGGCTCTGTATTTTGGTCTTATTTTTGTTCACATTCTTGCATGGCATTCCTGTCCTCTTGAATTAGAAATTCAAGGTCTTTATCTACTTTGTTTTACGAGGCTTCCAGGTGATTCTTATAAATTAAACTTTGTAAAAAATGCTGTGGAGTAGGGAGTAGGCTTTCAGAAGCGAGGCCTTGTTGCATAGAATGGGAATATGTAGATACATGAGGTAATGGTACATATCACTGAGCTAGTTTACCTTTCTCCCGCACCTCCCGCAGAAGTAGGACAGGAAAAGGTATAAATCATAGTAACTCAGTTGATTTATCATGTACGTTAAGAGTCTCGAGGACCATGTTTAGTTTCTGTCATCACTAGGAATGTGCATGACTCAGAATATCATCGTACCTGTGGCTGACACATGTATTATAGCAAAGGATACAGGAAAAATCAGTCAAGGGAAGATGCATAGGACTTCAGTAGAACCCAGAAGAGAGCTTTGAGAACCCTTTCCCAGTTTATGCACACAGGACACATCACAGTGTGACGCGTGCAAAGGGTTGTCTACCAGGGAAGCTCCTTAGAGACTTAGTATTCAGGGTGTTTATCAAGGACCTATCATATAGGTACCTTCGTCGCAGCCCATACCAAAACTCTAGACTCCCAGAAACAAAGTGGCACTTAGTGCAAACCATCCTTACAATTAAGAGTGGCGAGAACCTTCCTAAAATCCAATTTTCCAGATAGCCTTCTAAGCTTATAAGGCTAGCCTTATAAGCAAAGCTAGGGATAGCAGTCTTGGACTTGGTGTCCAACGCAGTTTGTTTTCTTTTACTTCTTTATATAAAATACAAAGCTTTTTTCTCTTTAGGAAATCAAGTAAAATAAAAATATTTTGAGAATGATGAACAGTTTGTATATTTTGAGAATGGATTGAATAAGTGAGCTTTGTCATTTTGACATTTAAAAATATATGTATATTATATATATGGCAGCATTATTCATATTCTGTGCTGATTTTAATAACTACAAAAATGGTTTATTTCATAGTAAGTTTTTTTTAAAAGATTTATTTATGCATAAAGAACTGGGGCACAGATCAGAGGTACAGGAGCAATGAGAGGCTTCACCGGAGACAGAGTGGGGAGCAGAACAGGCAGATTGACAAAGTATACTGCTCAGGGGAGCAGTGGGTGGGTCAGGAGAGGTCTGCTGTGCCATGTGGATCACCTCCTGGGCCGGGTATCAAACTTGACTGAAGCAGCTGTGGCCAGCTTGTCCTAACCCATTGCCCCACCAGGGAGTGCCCCATAGTAAGATTTTATTTTTAGAAATAGAAAAATAAGATGACTTTCTTAGTATTCACTTGAAATAATTTCTTACATATATGACCATTGACTTCAAAGTGGACACTGATTTTTCTTTGCTTTTCTTTCATCTTTTCATGTTAAAGGACCTAACTGCCATTTTTGAGGTTGCTTTGGTAAGTAATCAATCTCTCTTTTTTTTAATAGGCCAAGATGCTGAATTATCAGGGACACTATCACTTGTTTTGACACAGTGTTGTAAAAGAATAAAGGATACTGTTCAGAAATTGGCTTCAGACCACAAAGACATCCACAGCAGCGTTTCTCGGGTTGGAAAAGCCATTGATAAGGTACGGTGTTGAAGGAAGTACTTAGTTTTTCTTTTCTTTTTTTTCTTTAAAGATATATTTATTTTTATGCTTACAGAACTGGCCAGAGGTTAGGTGGGTGAGAGGATTCACCAGAGATAGAGTGGGGATTAGAACAGGCAGATGTACTGAAATACACTGCTGAGAGTAGCAGCGGGCTGGCCAGGAGAGGTCTGCCACACCATGTGGGTCATCTTCCTGGTGGGGGATCAAACTCATGCAGCAGTGGCTTCAGAGAGTTTCATAATATGGTGCTTTAACCCATTGAGCCACCAGGAAGTACTTGGTTTTTTTAAGCAGCATCCTTCCTACCTTGGTAATAAGGTAGCGTTCTCAAATTATTTATTTGTGCATACAGAACTGGGGTACAGACCAGAGGCTCAGGGGCGGTGAGAGGCTTCACCAGAGACAGAGTGGGGAACAGAACAGGCAGATTGACGAAGTACACTGCTGAGGGGAGCAGTGGGCAGGTCAGGAGAGGTCTGCTACGCCATGTGGTCACCTCCGGGGCAGGCAGGAATCGAACTCATGCAGAAGTGGTTTTAGATTCTCAGTGCTGTGCTTTAACCTGCTGCGCCACCACATTTAATAGTTTTTGCAAATCTGGTTTTACTATGTTATTCTTAACATTTTCTGTTGCAATTGTTTTAAAAACCAACAAAACAAAAAAGTCCCAAATGCCTATATTTAGAGCCTTGCTTTTCATCTTTTTGCTTATATCCTAAGGTCATATTGAATTTCCAAAGAAATTTTAATCTACTTGGAGGGAATTTGTTTACAGAAGTAACTTCTGCCTCCTGAGTATTTGTATATACAGAATAGCAGTACAGGCAGAGGTGCAGAGGCCATGAGAGGATTTACCAGGTTTAGAGTAGGGAGCAGAATGGACAGATCGATAAAGTACACTGCTGAGGGGAGCGGTGGGCGGTTCAGGAGAGGTCTGCCACACATATGGGTCATCCCCTGGCCAGGGATTGAACTTGTGCTGCAGTGGCTGTGATAGCTTCATAGTGCTGTGCACCACTAAGGAGAACCCAGATCATCTGTTTTCTTCCTGTGGACACACGTTAATTTTCTCTAGTGTTGCTTTCTATGTTAGTGGGTTTATTCCTATTGGTAAGGCAAACCACTTTTATTGGGGATTTTTCTTTTGGCATCTCTTGAATAAGCAATTTTTGCCTTAGTGTTTTACTTATAAGCAGTTTTTAGCACTGAACCAATTTTGCCTTTGGAGTTCATTGTCCTGTTGGGATCTTAAGAGCAGTAGACTAAGGTTACTGGGTGATATTCCTGACTAGTTCAGCCATTGGGCACTTTATGACTGGTAATGGACATTTCTGTTCACAAATTGTAAACTTGTAGGAGGGTAGAAAGAACTTTTGGGGAGAACTCTTTGTAGCAAGGTACCTCCTAGCCATTTTTTGAGTGGTTCTTCTGTATGCACAAGAGTGATAGCTGGAATATAGATAAAAATTTATGGAATCCAGAATGGCTCCATCTGTTTGGCCCAACTAATAGAAATTATTCTACAGAGCAGGAGTATTGAAAGACTAACTAGACTTGATGTTGCCAAGTCAAACGTATATGCTCCCATGGAGGTACTGTTGCGGTGGTTGGTGCAGTCTGATGAAATTGTATGCCAGGGCCTTTGGGTATTGCTGGGTAGTTGCGGCTTACAGAAGAACTGTTAGTGACCTTTCAGAGAGTTCTCACTCTTACCATAGTGCTTAGGGTTTCAGCTCAGTAAATGAGGTCAGAGAAGTATTGTTGGCAGCTGCAGTTCCATTTTTGGATCAGTGATAGCAGTTGCCAGCAAAGTCTGGGAAGATAGTGAGTACTCTCTGAAATAGTTCTGAGATTATTAGGCCTGTTTGAGAACTCCAGTGGAGTTACTACAGCTTTGAAAGTGGCTTTGGCATTGGATCGTTTGGAGAACCTGGCATTATGAGTCCTCATTTGGTACTGGATGTGATTATTGGACTGGAATAGCTTGAGAACTACTACAGTGGTAACAGGGCACTTTAGGTAGCCTTAAAGCTTTTACTTTATATAGTCTTAAAACTGTTGGTGACATCTCTTGAATAAGCTGTTTTTGACTCAGTCCTTTAATTATTAGCAGTAACCATTTTTTAGCACTGAATCACTTAGCTTTTCTAAGGTGAGGTAACTCCTGGTATATTTAGGAAACTTAAGATTTTGGTGGCTGATCATGACCAACGCATCCTAGTGATTCCCATGGTTCAAACCTGAGAAGGTTGCCAGAGGCTGCTTGTTGACCAGAAGGTGCTGCAGAATGAGATGAATTCAAACCTTCAAAGCAGCCAATCAGAAAGTATCAAAAAGAGATCTAAGATTTTAGAACTAGGTGGTGATGACCTCAATAACCATCCCTCTTGTGAACTACTGGGCAGCAAGATCTGGACTATTTGGGCAAAGAATTCATCTGCTTTGCCTTCTAGAATTGTTAGGGTGACCATAAATCCTTATTTGCTGGTTTTTCTATGTTGGCCTATCATATTTCTCATCAGAATCTTTTTTTACTTTTGTCTCCCTATCTAATGGTGGCTTGTCAACTTTCTGATCTAGCAAGTCTTAACAAATATTCATAGGGTTGTCAAATATTTGGATAATTTTTGAGACAAAGCATTTAAATATATTTGGTAACAGAAATGAAGACATCTTTTTGAGAATGGCTATCAAGTGAACACATTTATAGTGTGTAGTCTATTGTTTGACATTTTTGGTAGGGATGTATTTGAACTGACTGTTCCTAACTATGTATTTTAATTTACTTACTATTTTGGGAGCATTTCTTTCATATACTTGGAAGTTACAAGGGCTTTAAAATAAATATTTTAAACAATTTTACGTTTTTGTGAAAATAGTTAAGGCTTTAGGTGACCAGGTTTCTAGATTCTTCTGATCCATCATATGAAACTACATTATTAAATTGATACTGATAAGTATTTGTTGAATAATAGTCCAAGATCACACAAAAAAGCTGGGGTGTCAGCCTAGTTCTGTAACATCTTTCACTGTAATCTGTTCCAGTTATTTTGGCATCATCCTTGCCTTAGCTGTAGAGGAGGCTGTTAACTCTCTAAAACTACTTAGACATTGTTATCAGCTTCTCCCCTACTTGAGGAATTCTGTGTAGGCTGTTGTTGCATAGACTCCATTGACTTGTAAAGTCCTTCCTCTCTTTCACTTTGGACCTGGAAAATTTGTACAAGCTTCTAGCCAGCTTCTTATAAAGACTGGGTAGAGTCATACTCATGAGTTGATGGTGAACAAACAGGATGAAACTGAAGCGCTTGTGACACAAGCCATTAAGTACCACAACAAACAGACTTAACTAATGAGTTGGAATGCTGTCCAGCAGCCTGTGAGCACCACATTATGGGCATATGTCCCCACCTTGTCAACCAAAGAAGCCAATGACTTTTTTATAGAGTGGGGTGGTTTTGAGTGAGAAATTTTAACATTTTTGACATACTAACGATTTTTCCCTTTCATGTTTTAATGCTGCTTATGTTGTAAAGTTCTATAATCATCACTTTGCTAGAAAACATAAGCAGAAAAGGTTTGTATATTAGCCAGCACACTTTCTGGCTTTTAATTACTATGAACATAAAACATTTTTGGAGATTTCTGCTTTAATTGATTATTTTCAGATGTCTAAAGTATGACCAATTCTTTAAAAAACAACCATTTGGTTCTGACAGTTTTTAATTAAAAGCAAATGTTTGGGCTATGTTAAATTTCCTCCCCATGTTTAAAAAAATGTAAAATTCTCTCCCATTTAGGGCATTTTATTCAATGTTTTTAAAAAAGTTTAAAAAGTTTCAGTTTTTCTAAGTAAGAAAAGTCAATAAAATTGATTGCTGCTTTAGAAATAAATGGAATAGAAGTTAGGAAAACAATCCAAAAAAAATCAATGAAACCAGACTCACAAAGAAAAAAAGGAGAAAGCACAAATAAACAGGATCATAAATTAAAGGAGAAATCACAAAATACATAGCAGAAATCAAAAGAATAATCAGAGGACTACTGTGAACAGTTATATGCAAACAAGTTCAGCAATCTAGAAGAGATGGACAAATTCCTACAACTCTACAATCATCCAAAGCTAGATAAAGAAGAAATAAAACAACTAAACAGACTAATTACAAGCAGTGAAATTGAAACAGTAATTGAAACCCTCCCATAGAATAAAAGCCCAGGACCAGATGGATTTACAAATGAATTTTACCTAACATTCAGAAATGAACTAGTGCTTATTCTGCACAAACTTACTCAAAAAACCAGGAAAGAAGAAAAACTATCAAATACTTTTTATGAAGTCAACATCATATTAATACCAAAACCTAATAAAGAAACACAAAAAAAGAAAACTTCAGACCAATACCCTTAATGAACACTGATGCAAAAATCCTCAATAAAATCTTAGCAAACAGAATCTGATAATGCATTAAAAGAATAATATACCACTACCAAGTTGGTTTTATTCCAGGGACACAAGGATGGTTCAACATCCAAAAACTGATTAACATAATCTATCACATCCACTGCCAGAAAAATAAAAACCATATAATCATATCAGTAGATGATATAGAGAGGGCATTTGACAAAGTTCAACACCCATTTTTGTTTAAAGCCCTTGAAATCCTTGGAATAGAAGGAACATACCTCAACATAAAAGCCATATATGACAAACCCACCGCCAATAGTATCCTCAATGGAGAAAAGCTGAAAGCCTTACCATTTAAGATCAGGAACAAGACAAGGATGTTCACTATCACTGCTGCTCTCCAGTATACATAATACTGGAAGTCCTAGCCAGAGCAATAAAACAGGAAAAAGATATACAAGGAATTCAAATAGGTAAAATAGGTAAAGAAGAAGTTAGACTAACTTTATTTGTAGATGATATGATAATTTACAAGGAAAATCCTAAAAACTCCATAGAAAAACGATTCAAA